GGAGGGCAGGAATTGGGAGGGTGCAGATATGCGGGGTGGGGTCACATCACGGTGTATATAAACAAACTGCCTTGTCGGTGATGAACATTACCACTCTGTATTTCCACTGAGGAGGGTGACAGACTGACAGTAATTGTCGAATTTGTCGCCGAAACTACCCAGAAGAAATATTTCGTCTGCCACAGTGCCACTGGGTTTTTGTACTTGTTAAGTGAGGTATGTTTAGAGAGAACATGTGAGTAATTTTTTAACTATAGGAGTAATATTGCAATCAGTCAATCTCAATCATTCAGTTCAAGTGGCTGTAGTTGAGCTGAGCTGTGCAGTATAAGGTAAATCAGTACAGTCCATCAGTTATATCATTGCTAAATATAGGCCTAAAGCATTCTTGTGACATATTATATGTCATAAGAATATATAATTAGTATGTCATGAGAATGCTTTAGGCCTACATTTTGTAATGATATAACTGATGGATTGTACTGATTTACCTTATACTGTTCAGCTCAGCTCAACTACAGCCACTTGATTGACTTGAACTGAATGATTGACTGATTGTAATATTACTCCATACTCCTATAGTTAAAAAATGATCTATATTAATGAAATAAGGTACAAGAATTGCATTAAAATAAAAAACCTAGTGTCAGTTGCATCTCGCCAAGTCACCAGTGACAGGGTAACCTATACGCATATTCCGCAATTGTTTATCTGTGATCAGGGATCACTGATCAGTAAGTACTGTATTTGCAAATGACTGAAGTTATCATAATTTGTAATTCATTGTAATAATGACGCAAATAATATTTAACTAGAGAAGCACGCTAACACGCTTCTATATTATGCTACGACGGATAGGTCGCAGCCTCGCAGGTTACGGATCATTTCTACGATTATCTTGAATAATTTATCATTAATTTGTAGGTTTTGTCTTTTTACAGATAACGGTTGGATTACCACAAGCAAATATGGATAAATTTGTTATTAAAAATAAACGCTGTGCAACAGAAAACAAGGAATCTGAGGGCCCTCCTGCAAAGAAGTCAAAGGGGAATTCTGATGCTATAACTACTGCAAGTGTATTATATTCATCGCAGAAACAGAAAAATAAGGAGGAAGACACTGCACCAACTGACATCTCAGAATCTGTTGCTAGCAACCCTGTTCAGTCCCTTCTAAAGGAGTATCCCAAGCATATTGAAGGAAAGTCCCATGCTCGGTCATTCGTCGGTGCTTGGTTTGACCAATATGAGTGGGCTGAATATTCTCAAGAACGGGATGCAATGTTCTGTTTCCCGTGCAGGCATTTTGCACCACCAGCTCATGGCAATGCAGATGACGCATTCGTAGAGCGGCTTCCGACGTTGGAAAAAAGCACATGGAAAAGATGGTGCCATTGGAAAGCACCTGAACTCACAATGCCACAAATCCTCCTGTATTGCATAGGCTGACTACCAACGCAATAACGTTGAGAAGACATCCATTGCTCAGAGTATAAGTGAGGCCTATAAGACAAAAAGTTCGTGAAAATCGCCATTACATAAAGACTCTTGGAGAAATAATCCTGTTGACAGTACCTCAGGACATTGCTCAGAGAGGACACAGAGAAAGTGACGAAGAACTGAATTCTGAAAACATCCGTAAGTTCCTTAGATTCATTGCCAAGCATGATCCTGTTATAGCTGATTGTGTGAAAAGTGGTCCAAAGAATGAGAAATACACCAGTTCTGCGATACAGAATGAGATGATTGACACGCTCGCATCTATGGTGAGAGAAGAAATTGCTGAAAGTGTGAAATCATGTCATTACTTTTCTGTTCAAGCTGATGAAGCAAAGGATGTTAGTAAAACAGAGCAGTTGGCAATAGTTGTCAGATTTTATGATGAAGTGTCACATTGCATTCAGGAGTGCTTCATTTCCTTCACTCCCATGGTGTTGTTGGATGCTGCATCTATCACGGACGTAATCTTGAAAAGTTTGCATAAACTCGGTTTGGATTACAAATCTTCACTTGTTGGCTTAGGATTTGATAGAGCATCGGTCTTGAGTGGAGGAATCAGTGGTGTTCAGAAACACATTCTTGATAAAGCTCCTTTTGCCTATTATGTACACTGCTATGGACACAGGCTCAATTTGGTTTTGATCAATGCTGCTAAATATGTGCCTCAAGCAGCCCAATTCTTCAGTCTGCTTGAAGAACTCTATATCTTCGCTTGTAACCCTGTCGTTCACGAGAGTTTCATTTTTATACAACGAGAAATGTTCCCAGGAGAACAAGTCCGAGAACTGCAGAATCTGAGTGATACACGGTGGTGGTGTCGGGCCACGTCATGTGAAAATGCTCTGCTGCGTCTCGAATGCATAGTAAGACTATTGAAGGAGACTTCTGCAGAAAACACTGGAGCACGAGCCGTATCCGCACGAGGTTTACTTGCGCAAATAGATGCAGAATTTGTCTACTTATTGCAGTTTTTCTCAGAGATTCTTGGAAAAGTTGATAAAGTATCACAGCAGTTACAGGACAAGCAAGCAGACTTAGGAAAAGCAGCAATGCTCATTTCGTCGCTCCGTTAAGATCTAGCTGATAAACGCCACTGTAACTTGATTGAGCATTACTCCGAGAAGATTGATGAGCTCTGTGAGAAATGCAGCATTTCACCAACAAAGACACGAAAGCGAACCAGAAAACCTCGACAGAATGATGAATTCATTGTGCTGGAAACGACCGGTCAAAGATCTGACGTGAGTCATGTGCACATTGGCACCTTCTATGAAGTCCTAGACTGTTTGATTAGTGAATTAGACAGGCATTTCTCCAATGATTCCTGTGCAATTTTCTGTGAGATTTCAGCTCTTTTTACAGAAGGACAGACATTCCTGTCTGAAGAAGATTTGAGGGCATTTGCAGTTACATACTCAGTCAATCAAAGTGAATTACAACAAGAGACACCTCTGGTGAAGAAATTGCTCGTGAAGGAACATAAACAACCTTCATCACTCGTGCAACTTATGTCATTTATATGCCCTTATAAGGCTGCATTTGACTGTTTGTATAAATTACTGTTGATAGCTGTAACTCTCTCTGTTACCAGTGCTTCATGCGAGAGAAGCTTTTCGAAAATTAAATTAGTGAAAATATTCCTAAGAAATTCCATGTCCAGCGACAGACTGAGTAACATGGCGCTACTATCGATTGAAAGTGCACACGCTGACGGAATTGATTTAGATTGTTTTGTCGACGAGTTTGGCAGCCGACATAATAATCGTAGGATTAAGCTGCACTGAATATACTGTTACCGTCACAGTACCGTGTGAACTGAAACCGCACCATTGCCATTTGCCATTGGGTATAATGTAACAGTTGCATGCAGCGCCCATGTCTGAAAACGTAAACGTTGTCTCCATAATCTCCATTATGTGTGAAGCGTGATCATTCATTTTTTCGCTGATGTTTGTTATGTGGTACACCCGCCCTTTATGTGACTATGTGAGCAATAATACAGTTTTAGAGATATGTTCAAGTGTGTCAATACTCCAATGAATCATGATAATGGAATAAGAGCGTTGCCATTATACCGCCATATGCTGATTATTTTAGGCTGGCGTCATGAGAGACGTCACTTCACATTTGTCAATCAAATTGGTGTAATAATGCCAAAAACTGCATCTTGCAAGTTGTACACAGGTTTGGTTTTGCCCCCCCAACATTTACCTTGGCCCCAAAGTGGCCCCCCCCCACTTTCCGAAGGCTAGAAATGCCACTGCAGAGGTCTTCTGGGGACGAGAGATTTCCAGTACTATACTGTACTGCAAAACCTTTATTATTTATATTAAAAAGAAATGTTGATTTAAATATCCAGATATCATCAGAGTTGATTTTGAAGAATTGAAGTTGTACAGTACAGTATTGCTTATCTCAGAAACTTCTTTTAGGTTCACCTCACACAGAGAAGAACTCTGGTGCAGAAACCAAGTGTACCTTCTCTCTTTTATGAGAGACTGGAATGAACACTGACAGAAGAGAGGGATGGGTGGACACTGTGTAGCTTATTTGCATACCTCTTATCTCACTACCCAGACCAATGACCAACCACCATAGTTACACTACCAGATGCCTGTGTCAGCACCTCACTATCTTTCATCGATACATAAGACCAGTAACAAAAATATTATGTAACTTCGATGCTTTCATTTATAAAACAAAGCACAGAACATTATTTTCTTGTCTTCAAAAGGTAATTTGCACTGTAAGTCACAATACTGTATACTGTGAACACCAGAGTGTGGGTCTGGCCGGGTAGATTTGGTGTATAGCAATGAAAATTTAGTTTTTCACATTCCCCGTTTACTCACAACTGGATTTTACACTGAATCTGTACAGTATTTTTAGTAAAATGGCTGGAGTTTGCAGACACAAATAATTGATAAACAACCTGTATATTATTATTAGCTTCAGCCAAGAGAAAAACATCAGTGGTTGAGTACTTTATGAGGTAGGTTGTGTACTCTGATTCTTCAGTAAAATCAACTGGTTTAAGATACTGTATCATTATTAACAGAGGAACGTTTACAGTGTAAGAGGAAAACTACATTTTGTATGATATACTGTAGTACATATCTAAATAATTTACCGAATGGCTTCTCCAACTAGAGGTGGCCGTGCCAAAGAAAGAAGGCCAGTTTTGTGTGATGTAAACTGCAATACAGTACTGTAATTTACCCATAGATTGATACAAAATTGGTTTCTCAGTTATGAAAATTAAGCAAACAAGAATTTATTAAGATAGAAATAGCGCTTGAGTGATTGAGTAGTACATTAGTTTGCTTATCTTAAGAAAATTGTGTACAATGTTTAAATATCATCATCATTAACTTTATCATCTAAATCAGTAATCACAGATAAATGTTTAATTTTATGCAAGTACAGGTACAATACTATTACTAATTGTTGTTCATTATGAAAGTTTAATGTTATTATAATTAATCATATAGGTCATACCTGCGCTTGACATGCTGGGGAAGTGTTGTTCTTTGCAGGTGGGAGGTTTGTGGTCAAAGCAGATTCACTTGTAGTGTTGCTGTGAGAGATGCCACAGCATTCGGTCAAATTGTCCGAGTTATTGGCTTGTGAAAATTCTGTTCCATTTTTTTCTAAGGTCTGTTTAGTAACCTCATAGTCATCCTGTTTTTCTCTGGTGTTGTCTGTTAGTAGTACAAGTGTGTTAACATAAGTTGAGTTTTGAACTTCATTTTGTGATTCACTGTTTGGTTGAGAGGGTGTTTCTTGTGCAGTCGAGACATTAGTTGCATTTTCTTCATAGGTGTATGTTGTATCATCTGATCCTGGAGTTGTAATTGTCACTCTATTTTCATTGTTAACCACTTCAGAAGAATTTTTTTCATTTGCTGCTTTGGTATGATGAACACCTTGAGGGGCACTGTTTCCTGTGTGAGGGCTTGTAGTCACCTGGGACTCTCCTCTGATATGAAAGATATCTAATATATTTTCTGTTGTGATTGTCCTTGATGTATTTGTAGAAGGTGGCATCTCTGATTTATTTGGAGATTTATTCTCATCTTGCTGTAGTAGCATCTCGATATCTGTGTAATTAAGGTATGAATCTGTTGTTTGTGGTTTATGGGTGAAGGTGCCATCCAGTGGCTGTACTCTTAAACCATCCTGAACATTGGCAGGTGGATGAAGAGTGTTGGAGGTATTCACAGAAGAGTTATGTAAATTGTTAATTATTGCTGTTGATGATGGCTTGAAGGTTTTTGAGTTTGTCATGGCCATTTTGGTTATATTATTTTTTCCTTTGCTGTTATCTGTAGAGCTTTGTGTTTCATAGGGAATGGTACTATTTTTTAATTCATTTTTGTTTTTTGAGCCGGCATTAAGCAGTTCTCCAAATACTCGTTGCTGGTCTTCTTGAGTTATACCAAGAGTTGCATGTAATTGTTTAATAATTTGTAGACTTGCAGTTTTGGTTTTTTGACTCTGTGTTGTTCCATGAAACTTCTCAAGTTCAGCATGGGAAATATTACCTCCGACAATGCCATATATCAAGCCAATAATAACATTTTCACGGTAATCAGTGGACCAGTCCAGTTGGCTGTTGTGTTCCCACACATCTTCCAGAAGACCTCGAGTGTCTCGAATTTCCTTGTTCTTTTCCCAGTAGAATGTATTGTCTTGCACAAAATGTATAGAAGACACCTCTGTGTGATCCCACAACACTATCACAAATGCCAAAGCAACAAGCCATGATGCCATTGTCCACACGAGAGAGAAAGTACGTTGGAAGACGTCAGAACATGGAAAGGATAAAACTATAGCTGGATGATTGTCAATAGCAATCCCAAGAGCAGAAAAGTTGCCAGTCACAATGGTAAACAGTAATAAAGTATAGATGAGGAAATATCTAGAGCATGAATTACTGTACACTGTGTTGGCAAAATAGAGACAACCATCACAAAGCAGACCAAGTCCAGTGACAGCACCTGATACTGTGTCAGACAATCCATAGATTGTTAGGGGTAATGTTGGTCTCTGAGGACTATTTACAAGAAGTGTCACAGTCATCGTATTTAGGAGGAACCCAAGGCCACCAACAAAGATGTGTAGAACTGCCACAAATGTTAAACCAACCATTTTATCACTGATCAGTTTGCCATTTATCTTATTAGAGAATTTTAAACTTGTTACCTTTTATTTATTCAATCTAATTTAGTTTTGTTTTAGGTTTCTATTTTCAAATTTATTGATTCTGATTTATCACACAAAAGGATGGAAACTATGAACTTCAGGACAAACTGTACTTCTATTATTCACTTGAGTATATTTGGCAGACTACCACAGCTACTTCCTCGAGGGCTATGAGCGTGAATGGTTTCTCTAGGCTGCTGTATGATAAGTACCCATATGAGAGGCCAATGCTCCCTTCATCACCCACACTCCATGATTACTGTATATAGAGGCTGGATCAATACACACAATGGTACGCTTGGAATGGTGTGTCAGTGTTGCAGGAAGTGGGGACATGTTTTGTTTTTTTATAACAGGATCAGGTCTGACAGGAGTGAATGATTTCAGTGCACCTGACCTTCCTTTGAGTGAACAACTTATACCTAACACAGGGAGGGCTTGTAGCCATAAAACTCATCTCATGTTTGTTTATGGTGTAGTAGATTGGTAGATAGATATATATTCAATAAAATCATCATACAAGTTTATAGTTGGCTCAACATGTATAGTACTGTATATAGATTGTGCAGGTATATACTACAGCATGCATCTGGACAAGGCAGGTATTCAGTGCACAGTTGCCCACAGGTATAGTGTTCACTCCTTGGTGGTCTTTCCACTGACGGGTGGAACATTATACCTGTAGGGAACTGTACATTGACTGTGTAAGTATACAACTACCTATGTACTGGACAGTGCCGGTATACTGTACAAACATTGTGCCTATACAGTGCAGACATACTGTGCAAATTTTGTACCAAGACAGTAAAGGTGCACAAACAATGTACTACCTAGACAGTGCAGGTATACAAACTGTGGTAAAGAGTATAACCAACAAAGCCATCATATGATTATTTGCTATGTACAAAACTGCAGTAATAGATATTCATATATAAGTTAATGATATGTAAGTGAGGAGGACCATGTGTTAATTTATATTGGTCACCTAAAATACTGTACAGTATTGTATTGGAAAATATCCGTTAGTGTACTGTAGCTTGAAGTATGGCAGAGTAGACAGTTTTGTTTTCAATGTTTATTTGATTTATTGTACTACAGTATTCATAATAGGTAAGGACAAACCATAAACTTTTATATTGGCCTGTAAATCTGTACTGTACTGTACTGTACAATGTTTCAAAGGTGTTTGGTAATATTTGATGACACCTTTGTAATTTGTACCAACAATGATTTGTATACTGTATATGTAGTTACCCTATTTATACTGTAGTATTTGCAGTTTTATGACCTATAATGTTTTGATGTGTGTTATTCTTTCTCAAAGAATTATGGAAGAAATGAGTTACCCAGGAAAGAAATCATATACTAGTGGAGTTGTATGTGTGTGTCCGTATGTGCGTGCATGCATTTTTTGCTCACATTTGCATGCATGCTTGTGTGTGTTGTAATAATTATCTTTAAGGAAAAATTGATTTCCTGTAGTACATTGAGTTTAGATATATAATACTGTATTAACTTTTCTTCTAGATGCTGTGATTCTGCTCACCACCTGTAGTCTGGAATAAGAAACTTGGCTCTAAAGGTTTGACCAGTGGCTCAGCCTAATAGTAATCTCTGCTACAGCTTACTGCTTGTTTCTCCCAACCCCTTTTCATCTTTTCATCTCGTCAACCCTTGAAAAGAAATTGCATGATATTATGAAGACTTACTCTTGGCATAAGAAATAGAAGCATGACTTATGCACTCAGTCTCTCTGAACCACCGCATTGCTTGGAAGCAGGAAGGAGTGATTTAACAAATGAACTCTCAGCCACTCTGACAACAGATGACAGGTTCTCTGGTTTTGACATACTTGAAATTTACAGACACTCACATAAGCTGAGTAAACTATCTAGGATAAGAAATCGGCTAAAGATGTGGGAAATTAAAGGTAATGCTAGTAATGTACAATAGACGATACAGTACAAGTGGCACCTAGTAACTGACTCAAACTCCTAATCTAGAACTGTACTGTAATTATTACAACTCCTTTATTTTTCTAAAAACATTGCTGTATAATGCTGTTTGGGTTTAATAATATAATAACATATTGTAGTTCTGTGAATTTCTTAATTGATATATACTCAGTGAAGCTCCTCCCCGACTTACGACTGGGTTAGGGACCCAAATCCAGGTCGTAAGTTGAAATGGTCGTAAGTCGGAAATGCTTAAATAATACATAGAAAATCTAATATGGGTGTCTCTTTTTCTTCTCAGCACCACAAGACTCTCACTTTTAAGATGCCAGCCATTTTAAAATGAATTACAAATGAAAATTTTGTCTGTGTACTGACTTTGGGACTCAAAAATATGTAATTTGACCAAATTTTGGTACGACTGAGGCAGGTTGTAAGTGCGGGTGGTCGTAAGTCGAGTAGGTCGTAAGTTGGGGAGGAGCTGTATATATAAAATGCCATGGTTGAATTAGAAAAACAACTCTGGGTTTGTTGTAGAAGGGGAGCACCATAGCAGAGCAAGTCTAGTGCAGTGCTGTATGGCAGATAGAGAGAAGGAACGACAGTGAATAAGGTTGAGTCTGTATTGCTTTTCCATTAGGCTACTCTATGCAGCTTACAAGAATGAAATAAAATATTTTATTAATATTTAGTGTTAGAAATTAGTAAGTGATATTACTGTATATGAGTAGCACAGCACTTTTTTGTAATTGGGGATGTACTCAACTAGTTTTGAAGTGCAAGTGAAATTCTGTAATGTAAAAAGATGCTTTATACCTGTAGTAATACTGTACTTGCAAGTGTAGTAGTAATATCACTATGAACACCAGTTATGGTTACAGTAGTGGTAGTATTAAAGCAGTAGTAATGGTAACAACAGCAAGTGAGGTAGCTAGTTGTGCTATGGGACATTATAATAATCCACCACTGCAGTACTGTACTGCAGTAATAAAAGAAGTGATTAGTAGTACACCTTCTTTCATTTGCAATTGAACAATTGACCACTTGCCTTTAACAATCAAGATTTTGGAATGACAAATTTCTATTTGCTTTCAACTATTTTCCGAATCCATTCAACAATCAGTTATTTTGATTTGACAATTTACAAAACCTTTCAGCAGCCACATATCTCCGATTGCTTTCAACAGTCAACCAAACTTTTCAACAATGCGACTGAAACAATCATCATTGAAAAGAATTTATTCAACAATCTTTAAAATCAGTAACAGCCATGAATATTTAATTTTTGAGTATACTTACACAAACATCAACAACACAATGAATTCTGGTATAAACATATGTAATTATGTAATGTCTTTAGTCTTTAGTATGTAGTAGCTACATAAAACATACGATTGCTTAAAAAGAAACAAAGAAAAAAGGGCCTTATACCAATAGCTAAATACATTGGTGTCATGATACTTCCACGAAGCAATTCACAGTAAAGGCCTCGTACACCTTGGTGGGTTGTTTCTGCCTGGCTGTAAGGTAGGGATGGAGGTAGGTGAGGGTGGGAGGGGTAGTGGGATTGGGGAGAGGAGTGTCATATCAGCATCCTGTTGACTTGCCTTCCTCCTCTGCCTCACGAATAGTAACCTGTCAGGTAAAAAAGAACCCATGAGTGTATAGAAGGTTTCTGTTGTGAATTGTTTCAAGTGGAACAAACGGTAAGGCAGTAGGTTATACTCTATTACTGTAGACCTACTGTATATCAATTGAAGATGTCTCGGCCAATACATTGAACCAAGTAGGTGTTGACATGGTTATAGTTCTGCGACACAACATGTTCCGTGACACTAGGCAGGGCAAATTCCACCAACTTGCAAAATGTTCTCCCTCAGTGCATTGAGAGTCACCTTCTTGCCTGGCGTGGGCAGTTGCACCACCGTTAGGGTGTGTCATAGGAGAAGATCAGCTAAAACTAATGGCCCATCACTTTTTTTTGGTAGATTTTTTGTGTACTTATACTAAACAGAAAACTCTTGTTTCAGTTCAATATTTTGCAACCTTTTTGCTAGGTAAATTTTGGCGTGAAATTTATCGAAAAATGCGTGATACAGCTGCATTAGTGCATTACAATTAAATAGTGAACATTGCTTTTCTGACTTCATTCTTTAACAACTAACAATATTTTTCTGTTTCAGATTCTGATGCATTTATAAGTTGATAATAAACTGCGATGGCTGCTTGTGTCAGGATGAGGAACCAAAATCCAGCCATCTCAGTCACTATCTTGGGTCTGGGAAACCATTCCGGAGTTACTTACTACATTGAGAGATGCTTTGAGATACGGTGTTTAATCAGGCCAAATCAGTGAAAGAACCAAGAACTTACACAAACAAAGACATTACACCCATTGATATGACCAAAGCTGTCTTGGCACAGTACGCTCGACTAACTCTCAGTTCAGCCTCCAGTCATAACAAGTCAAGAAGATTAGTGAGGGCTACTGCTTCAGATTGGAAAAGGCGAAGATATCTCTCTTAGGAGGAAAACTTGCAGTTAGGTTCCAGCTTTACTTAAACAACTGGACCAGTTATTTGACCTCATACTTGCAAGTGCTTGGTGTTCTCTGTCCTGGTAGGTTTGGATGCGACGTCGTGACTGTAAATCCAGGCCCACATCTCCTGTATTTGCAAAGCGTGAACTGAAAGATTCCTGTGATCAGACTGGCATTTGTCAAAGCTTCCTGAAGAGAAGACTGGCAGTATGGGGCTCTCATGATTTCTAGCCAAGATATTCCGAGGTCCAAGTAGGAGGCTGCCACAGAGAGACAGAAGAGGAGAAGAGTTGCCGAGGAAAAGAGACTTGAGAGGCCCAGGGGTGAGGAGGTAAAAAGGCCCATTGATTGGAGTCAAGCCCCTGATTCAAGAGTTTAATGACTTCCCCCATGGCTGATCCAGTGCTTTGACCGGGAGAATGGTAACTTTTGTCCCTCACAGAAATAATGATCAATGACCTTCCGGGCATAAGATTCGAAAATAGGAAAAGATATCGAGGCATAGCTCTGGCCAGCATGCGACACCACACTGGTCTCAGAGAAACTGCAGGAATGTAGCAGCTGCCTGGATTGTATTGGTTTATTAACACCTGATGATGTTCACCTGGTGATAGATCATAACAAAGTAGAGGCTCAGGGAGAAACTTGTCAGTAACCTAGAAGAGGAGTTTGATAAGGGGTAAGAAATGGAATCAATTGTTTGTTCTTTGATGGGAGAGGGATGACACTAAAGTGTTCATGAAAGTTGGAGATTCTGACAAGTTGTTCCTGCCATGGTGAAGGAGGAACACTACTCCTGCTGCAGTGAACCAGGAGGAAGTATTTGTGGCTTTCACTCCAGAAAGATGACATCAGGGAAACCAGCTGAGATAGTGGCAGATAACATTGTAGAACTGGCTCAGAGACAGAGAGCGTAGACCAGACCCTACCCAGGCCATTGGAGGACAGCACCAGCTCACGAACACAGGGTGGCAAGGGGGGTCATACAGTGGATGGGGAGGCCGGAAGATTGGGAGGAAGCTGGTCTGGATTGTTTTGTGACCTCCACCAGCAGGTTGCCTCTCAGACATCTGATCCAGGAGCTGGATGGCAAGACTCTTTCAAACAACAGATGGTCTGGTCCTCTTGGCAAGATGCTGGAAGCTCTGCCACTGAGTTAAAATAAATCCGAGCTTTGGCATCCACAGTTGGCCCTCACTCGTTGAGCTTGCACATACTGTCATTGTGGCGACCTAGTACTGACCAGTAATATAAGTTTACATGATTTGCAGTACCACCATCAAAACTGGGTCATGCCTGATAGACTTGCTTACCTGCAGATAGGTCCAGTCTCACATTCTAGGTGGCTCCTACTTGGCTCTCAGGTTCTGCAGAATTTGGGTCGCTCATCATAAACTGAAGAGAACTAGCTTCACAACCTGAGACTTATTGTCAATTCATCGTGAGTGTCTACTTGCCAGGTGGTTTTCAACACCAAGGTCAAGTCATGGATTCTCCGAAGGTCCGAGGCATATTCTCTCAGCAGGCTCCTGAGGAGTCAGCCAAGGAAGGTTGTTCAGATTGTGGAGCAGACTGTGAGGAGATCTTCCTGAGTATGCTCATCGAGCAGTTCTGCAGACAATGCTCTGCAGTAAGGATGAGGAGGAGAGAGAAGAGTGGCAGTCAAAAAGATCTTGGATATGAGACTTATGAGAGGATCTGGAGCATGACAAATCAGTTGGTGGCCGATTCCTTCAGGGTCCAGGAAGACTCTGAAGTCAATCTGCCAAGACCCTCACTGATCTCATGAATCTGGATAACATCCAGGCTGGCAGTGAGCCCCCTCTTGCCACAGCCTCACCAATGTTCCAGAGTCAGAGCTTCCTGAACAACCCCATGCATGTCCCTGCCTGGCCTCGCACACCCAGAGTATAGGCGGGCCAGCAGTCACGTCTTGCAACCAGGAGAGGAGAAGGCTACATCAGGCTCAGGTGGTCAGCAGGGAGGTGATGGTAGAAACAGAAACAAGACATGTTCTCTATGGTGTGCAGCAACTTACGGGTGTAGTAGTAAAACCGGTTTTTTGTACTTGATGATTTTTGTTTTCTA